AAGGGGCTGCCCCCCCCCCCCGAACACACCCGCAGAGCCCGCCTGGGTCAGGGGCCCGCATTTGTTAGCAGGCGCAAGTCCAGCGGGAAGTGGACATTTACACGTGGGGCTGCGGGGCCCGCACGGCAACCGTGGCCAGGGAGGGCCCGCCGTCAGGCCCCCCACGCCTCGGGGCAGGTGTGGTTACAAACGGCTGTCGGTCAGCCTTGCGGGCCAGAGAAGGTGGGCACTGCGGGTAATTCCCTGTCTTCCAACGGTGCCATCTGCTCTCTGACCCCAGTGTAATGGGGGCGGCCGACGGAAGGGTGGCTTTCCACAGGGCAGGAATTTCTATATAACCCACAGGTTTCTGGATTGAAAAGCCCCCGAAATACCGACCGGAGCCCAGGAAGCCCTCGGTTTAGCTCAGGCTCCCCCCGTCTACACTCTGGCAGATGGTGGGCAGGCAATGAGCCTGCCCGATGCTCAAGGCGAGTCCACAACATAGGCTGTCTGAGGAGTTAACAGCAAAGAAATAAAAATCCCCCTAATCCATACGCCCTAATCAGCGATTCGTCTGGACTCTCAGTTCTGGATTCTAAAGGAAAAATAAAAATAACTGTGCCACTGCCACAGGCATCTGCGTGAACGCCTCCCTTCTTCCCGGTGACACCTGGCGCAGCGAGCGCAGGTCAGCGATCAGGCTCGCGGCCGAGGACGGGTGGGCCACAGAGCATGGAGCCCAACACACTCCAACACAGCGACAGTGAGGCCCACACACCCCAAAATCTCTTTCACAGCCAGGATGGCTCGAAAGCCCAGTTCTCGGGACCAAGTGTCTGAATCTCGGGGAATCCCTAGCCCCCTAAGGAGGAGCGGGGGATTGTCTGCATGCACTTAGGAGCTCAAGCTCAGGAATGGTGTGTCAGCTTCTCAAATATCCCAGAGGCCAGCCTGCAAACCGGAGCTTCAGCACCTGGAAGTCGCCACGTCCGGTCCCTGAAACTCTCTCGGTGTAATGCGAGTCAGTGTGCCCGTGGCCCCCACGCCCCGTCTGTGGCCCAGAACTTGGATACAATTCAGAAGGACGTGTCGGCCTGGGGGGCACAGGACTGGCCAGGGTCACTTTCCTGACGTTAAACCAATGTGATGAGCCACCTCCTGCTAAATCAGCAACAGAGCAGAGACGGGGGCTTCCTGCGGCGAGACAGCGGGTGGTCACACAGGGAGCGCACTGCCCCTCAGCGGCCCGCCTCCCGCGCCGGGGGTGGGTCAGGAGCCACGATGGGTGGTGTCCCCACGGCGCCTTGGCCTGTGGCCTTCGGAATCGCGGGTCTGGTTCTGGGGCCGAGTCCGTGTCCCAGTAACGAACGAGTGAGAGTCGAGCGCTCGTTCCCGGGACCGGAGCGGCACGTGCGCTCCCCTCGCGAGGCCCTTACTGGGAAGTGAGAGACTGAGTTCTGCATCTGAGCCAGAACTCACTGCGTGGGTAGTTCACTTGGTTTAAAAGAACTGCCTTTTATGTTTTTCGTTTCCCAACACTGACCGTGCCACACACGGAGGCATGACCCGAGGGCGACAGTTTCCAAACGCTACCGGCTTTTGCTTTCAACTCCCACTTGCCTTCAGCTCCAGCACGAGGTCCATTCTCTTCTTCCCCAGGGGGTTGATGTCGTTCAGGATCAGGGCCGTGATGATGTCAATGCCGTTGGACTCGTGGGTGGCGATGCAGTTCTGTGGAAACACACACACGCACAGGCTGGTCACCAACCAGCCCCCCAGGCCGGCAGCCTGAGCTGCTGTTGCGACACACGGCTCGCCACTCCCAGCAATCTCTCGGGGAAGCTGCAAATTTTCCGTGAGAAAGTGGTAAAAATAAAAGGCAGATGGAAATCTCTGGTTTCAGAATGAACAGTAAACAGTAGGAAAGTCCCCGTACGCTGGAACCGATATGCGGGTCACGTGTGATCCAAACAGTGCCGGGCCGGCTTCTGTGCTGAAGGGAAAGGTTGGTGTGGGGCTGCTCTGGGTCCTGCGCCCCACGCTCCCCGGCTCCCTGTTCGAGGGCTGTTCCCTTCTCTCTACACCGCTCGGTCTTTAAACTCTACTTTTACTTAAGGCTGATGCTTGGGAAGCAAGTTTGCATTTCATTCGCAGAGATAAAAATCAGTATCTTCCCCCCTCCCAGGTACGATCCCCGTTGGCAGCAGACTCCAGGCCGCAGGTCCCTTCGACAGACCGGCCAGGCAGAAAAGCCACCTGAGGTGGCCGGGACACTCACTCAGATGTCAGAGAGCCTCTGCCCACAGCTGCTGAAACTCTTGGTTCCTTTTTATTGTCGCTAGGACCACACCCTCCGCCTTCTCAGGCAACCGGGGGAGGAAAGTGGATCTAACCAAATCCAAGCCTCACAGTCAACGACGACCAGGTTTTTAGACACAGTGAGGGCTCCCTCTTCTGAGCCCCTTCTCCTCTGGGCGAAGGTCCCCCAGGTAGCCCGGCGCATCCGCCTCCCTGGCCACTGGGTTTAAAACCGGCCGTTGAAGCCTTGGCCACACCCCAGCACCCCCGCCCGCCGGGGTAGAGCTGTAATTGAGTTAAAAATCCTCCTCACCCCAGCACCAGTGCAGAAAGTCACAAACTCTACACGACGCCACAGAGGCGATGGCTCCACTTGGGGCGCACAGGTAGGTTCCAGTCCAAAAATACACTTCTGGAGAGGCCAACGTCCAAACTAGCGGGTCTCTCTCTCCTCTGAGTGTCTGGGGGGTGAAAATCTGAGCCACACACTTTCTCACGTGACGTTCAAGCTTTCCCTCCAGCTGGGTGGGAACGTCCTGCCCCTGAGGGGCGCCTCTTAGGGTCTTTCATAGCATTTAAAATAGAGCCCAGACTTCTGGTCTTAATTTACTCCAACTTTAATACCTGCCAGCAGCCAAATTAGAGTTGAACATTCAAACCAAACTGAGCTGAGCCCGGCGAGGACGACCCCAACACCTGCATCCAGGTGAAGCCCTGAGCGCGAAGCTCAGAGACCGCCCTGACCGCTGGGAAAAAGGCTCCAGTTCGGCCGCCTCCCTAGGCCACCGGGCAGGCGCCACGTGACTCCCGAGCGAGTCCCCGGCGACAGCGCTGCCTCGGGCCCCCTCCCCGGACAGAAGGAGTACCTGGTTCTCGTGGCAGGGCCCCTGGCAGTACTCGGTGAGGCTCTCCAGGGTCTGGTTGATGAGGGCCACGTTCTTCTCGTTGATGTAGAGCCCCAGCAGCCCCAGGCCGCCCGTGGTGCTGCCGCAGATGCAGTCCAGGAACTGCAGCGTCTCACACACCAGGTTGTAGTTGGTCTTGTTGTTTTGGCAGCGGAGGAAGTTCTGTGATGGGGCAGTCGGTCCCCAGGCGGGGGCGCGGGGCAGAGGAGAGAGGGAAAGGTCACTCGCCCGCTGTTTTGGGGTGCCCTGGGTTGAGGAGCGGCTGTGCTTCGGGGAGCACAGGCGGGCGAGCCCCGGGGTGGTCAGCCGTGGATGTGCTCTGTGGCAATGCCATCAGCACTGGCCAGTTCCCCAGGGTGATTCTATACGGGACGCAGCGGAGGAGGGCTCGTCCCTGACAACCCGCTTCAGACTCCTGCGCCTTTCCCAGGTCCCGTCCTTCTCTGTCCCACCCCAGCTCGCCCACCCTCCCTCCAGGCGTTAAGCTCACGGGCACCTGGCATTTTACAGAAAGGGCGATGCTGTGATCTGGATGCCGAGTGCCCACGGCCTAGCTCTACAAGCCGGGCGAGGCTGGCCTCAGGCCAGGCCGTGGCGGGAACCCAGCGGTCCGTGTGGCCATGCCCGCTGTTAAAGGGGGAGGGGCATGGTGCGGGTGTGCAGGTGCCCGAGCACGTGCCCTGCAGGTAACCTAGTAGCGCCAACGAGACGCGAGCAGGGGCTTCCTCAACACGACAGAGCCACCTTCAACCACCTGCTAAGGCAGAGTCTGTTCTGATGAAGAGGTTTTGTGACGGACTCCATTCACCTCTTNGGGCTTCCTCAACACGACAGAGCCACCTTCAACCACCTGCTAAGGCAGAGTCTGTTCTGATGAAGAGGTTTTGTGAGGGACTCCATTCACCTCTTCTAAGGGAGAAGCAAAACTTAACCACACGTATTCTTTTGCGCACAGCTATAAAAGTTTCGTGTGTTTACTGTAGGAAATTAGTGCTACAAAAAGATAAAACTAAAAGATAAAATGAAAGTAACCTCTGACCTGGTGACCTACAGTCACTAGGGCTCTGTAACAGTNTACAAAAAGATAAAACTAAAAGATAAAATGAAAGTAACCTCTGACCTGGTGACCTACAGTTACTAGGGCTCTGTAACAGCGAAGAACTGGAAACAACCTAAATGCCAGTCAAGTGGGGAGTAGTTACAATGTATCAACACCACCTAATGATAAGTTAGAAACACCAACGGGGTCCCCGTGGGCCAGAATGGGACGATCTCTGGGCTAGGCTGTTAAGTTAAAACCTNACAATGTATCAACATCACCTAATGATAAGTTAGAAACACCAACGGGGTCCCCGTGGGCCAGAATGGGACGATGGGACGATCTCTGGGCTAGGCTGTTAAGTTAAAACCAGGGGGCAAAGATGACCGTGTAGCCAGCGCTCCCGCCAAACACGCACGGAGGACTGGAGAGCACCGTCCAGACCAAGGACAGAGTTCTCTGGGCGGAGGGGGAGGAACGGGGAGAGGAACGTTTTTTCTAACTAAACACTTACTTTCATTTGCACCTTTATAACTAGAACATATTCATGCATTCCTTGTATAATTAAAACGTTGGTAAATGCACACACGAAAAGCTGGCAGCCAAGTTTAATGCTTGACTCATCAACAAACTCCCCACCTCCCCCAAGCCCCGTGAACCTCAGCTCCCCAACCGCTCCAAAAACTGAGCCACCATCAGATCCGGTGGGAGGTGGGGGAGGACACAGCCGGTCCCTAGAGGAGCTGTCCAGGCACCTGCCCAGGTTCACCCCCGTCCCTTCTGGGCGGACGGGGCTGTTTTCCGAAAGCCAGCAGTGCACGGGGCTCAGCCGAGGCCTGGAACTGCGCCACGCTTCTTCCCCGCAGGTCTGTGCCCGTCAGCAGAAAGCAGTGGCGCTGCAGGGTCCACCACGGCCCTTCCTAAGAGCGTTTGCCGGTGGGGACGCCTTGAGGGAGACCTCGAGCTCTGCCATCAGACTGCCTGGGTCCAGGCCCTGCTCTGCAGGCCTGGCCGTGTCCCCTGCACCTCAGGACGCCCTCTTCTACGAGACGAGTGTCGCAGCAGAGGCGACACTCAGAACCCACACCATTCGAGGTGCCCCTTGGCCGCTGTTACCATTCTAACAACAGGAAAAAAGGGAACCAAGGATTGCTAGAATAATCGTTTCCACAAGTACTTTTGAGCAAAAATACCTCTTTGTGTAAAATTCCAGAAAGCCACTCATCCATCCGCCCAAAAACTAGTTAAACTTTCTAAGCAGCAGACTTGGAAAGCCTGCTGTGTTACCCACCCACCCGCCACCTTCCACCTGGGCACCCGCGGCGCGGAGCAGAGGCAGGTGAGCAGACGCGCGCACTAAACACGCGCGGAGCAGCGGCCACGCCGTGAGCGAGAGCCGGCGACAGCTCCCCGGCCCCGCGGGGAGGACTGACGGAACCACGCCCTCACCGACACCGAGAACCGTCCTGGGCCCTGATGCGAGGAGCCTGGCCGGGGACAGGGGCCCGGGGACGGGCCCAGCGTCGGGGCGGCC